TATTATATATATATATATATATATATATATATAGAGAGAGACGAGAGAGATGCTGGTGAGAGGAAGCTGTAAGAGTGAGAGAGAGAGAGAGAGTATGCTGTTTAAGACTAAAGATAAATCAATCTTGTAAATAAGAGAGGAGCCCTCTATTTATAGTGGGAGGATTCAAGGTAATAATCATGAGCCTGCAGTCCGGCAAGTGGGATACAATTCCTAACCTACTTCCCATTGGTTGTCTGCACGAGAGATATCCTTAAATTGCATAGGGCTTGGGTAGGTGGACGATTCCTAGCCACTCGCAATTATGGCATTCACCTGTTGCACTAACAAGAACCATACCTCTTCCGTCATTCCGCGACGTGGCAATGTCTAGACAGCACATAGCCTCCCTGAATTCTGATTGGCTCTTGCTGACGAGAGTCCACATTAGCCCTGACTTTTTAGGCATAACAGACTTGTATACAGGTTGTGGTGCCAGTCTACTAATCTGTGCATTTTCTACTAGAAAAACTCCCTTCCCTGACATAATGAATTAACAGATTTTTTTGACCGTTTTAAAAAACTGTCAAGAATTGTAATTATTGACTGATTGTTGACTGTTTATGAACTGTCAAGAATTTGAAATAATCATTTACCGTTTTTTATGATTCCTGATAGTTATTAACTGTCAAGGAATTAGTTAAAAATAAATTTTGCAAATCTTGTTCTTGACTGTTGTAGTCTCAATCCTTGATAATTTTTAGCTATCAAAGATTAAGTATATAAAAAACAAAAACAAAAAAATTGCCTAATACTTTTCTCACCCATTTTTTGCCACCAATTTTCATTCACTTTTCCCACAATTTTTTCCTTAAAACTTATGCTTATCCCCTATATAACTCATTTTTGCAAACCCTCATAGTTGACATATTCTGACACTGGAAAAAAAGTTCTTATTTCTACCACTCCTATTTAGTAGACATGACTCGCTCAGTGACTCTGGCGTGTACTCAGTACCTATTTCGACGAAGTTTGTTAACTTCAGTGAGTTCTTGTCGGGGCATATTCCCAACACCCAAATTTAGGGGTGTTCAAAAAAATGTGAAAACCGAATCGAATTGGGAACCGAAGTGGTTATCCGAAAAACTGGTTCAATTTTGGTCCATAGAAGTAAAGAAAATCGAATTTCCGATTTTATTAAAAAAAATTAAAAAGTAAACAATTTTTCGTTAAAATTAAAAAAAAAAAAAACAATTTAATTTAAAAAGATTATAAATCTAAAATTAAAGAAAATCAAGCCCCGAACCCGGCTAATATATATATATGTACACACCCAAAATGAAAAAACTGTTTGAACCCTTACAAGTTACAAGTTTAAAACAAAAAAAAAAAAAAAAAAATTATAACTCCAAATTACTACAGTCCTCGTCACTTTCTACAGAAAATCCCCAAACCACAAAACCCCACCGCCGACGACGCCATTGCTCTCCACTCCGTCCGCCTCTGCTTCTTCAATTTCTGCCTGAAAACTTTCACTTCTCCACTCGGTTCGCCTCGTCTTCTCCATTTGATGGCTGGAATCTGGACTTCTCCATCCGTTCGGCTCTTCTTCTCCATAAATTCCAGTGAGTTTCCGTTGTCTAGTGGGTGATTTGCTTATTCTAATTAATTTTTTTTAATTTAAAATTTAATTTTTATTCCTGGCATTTTGATATCAGTAATGGATTTGAGATTACAAATCATTACTTTGATCTCAGATTCCTGGAAGCTAGATGATGGACATTAAATGTTATATTTGAACTTGTTGATTTATGCCCACATGCTTCTTGATTTGTCTTTCAATGAAAGAAAAAGGATTTTACAGTATAAAAGATTTTGTAATCGAATAAAGTGCTCAAGGAGATTATTATTGTTTTTTAAGGAATCAATCATCATTTTTCAGAAACATGCAATAAATTATATGTATTTTAGGTTGTTTAAACACATTTCATTTTGTTGTAATTCCTTGGATTAATGAAATTAACAATGAGCGTCTATTGCCATTCCACTATTTATCCCAAAATTTGGTGTTCCAAAATGCTTGTGTAAATGTCTCTCTTTATCGGATTGGTGATGAGAATTGTTGTTCCTCTTGTTTTGGTGATTGTCTATCATCAGCGGTACCTTGTGCACTCGAAAGTGGGAAGTATGTTTACTCCTCAGAAGGCCTTCTAGATAAAGAGTTCTTAGATGAGTATATCTCAATGACTCGGGATCCTCAACAACAATGCCTCTTGAATTGTAAATGTTGCCCACTTGAAAGATCAAGAAATGAAGGTATTCTAGAACCATGTAAGGGTCACTTGAAGAGAAATATTATAAAGGAATGTTCGAGCAAATGTGGCTGTTACAGACAGTGTGGCAATCGTGTGGTGCAGCGTGGCATAAATTGCGAACTGCAGGTTTTATCCCCCTCTTCGCAAAGTTTTTGCCCTCAGTTTTATGTTTAACACTAGTAATAGCTAAACTATTGAAAATGTTTCATGAATTGTTCATCATACAATTCTCTTCAAATTGGAGTTATAATGACACTCATCACTGTTTACTTACTCTTATGGATATCCTTTTTAGTTACATGTGTATTAAATGACTGATTTCTTTTACATGTTAAGTGTTTTTTACTCCTGATGGAAAGGGTTGGGGGCCTAGAACTCTAGAAAAGCTGCAAAAAGGTGCTTTTGTGTGTGAGTTTGTCGGAGAAATTCTAACCATCACAGAGTTGTATGAGAGGAACACCAAGAACCATAACTGTCCGGTTTTACTGGATGCATATTGGGCTTCAAAAGGAGTTCCAAAAGATGAAGAAGCTCTCTGTTTGGATGCCACATGCTACGGAAATGTTGATCATAGGTAATTGTCCAAATATTTACTAATGTTGTGTGTAACTCTCACAGATTTCTTCCTATTCCAAAGGGATAGCATCATTACTATCGTGTAAAGCATATTAGAAGCTCCATCTTCATGCTTATTGTTTTGGCTTTTGTTGCCGATACTGGTTATTGTTTTGTCTTTTGTTGTTGATATTGTTTCACTGGTACAGTGGCTCTAAATAGTGTATTCACCTGTTATGTAACTTGCTTTTTCCACAACAAGAGACGTGGATGCATTTGAAGAGCTAACCTGGGTGAGGAGGCTTGTTTTTATAGATTTAGTTAATAGTTGTACTCATGAAATGAATTAGGAAATACGTTATAGCAAACAAACAACAAAATGATGATTGATTCCTTAAAGGCTTGTTATTGAATGTACTCATGCAATGAATCAGGACATACCTTATGGCAATTGTAGAAGGCGAGGGATGGTGTGAATTGAAGATCGTGGACTTAAGTATTTCTGTTAGTATTATTTTGCTACACTGGTATAGCTCCGTCGTCAGTATAGGCTGGAACATAGTAATGTGTCAGCAAAATACATTTGCCTAAAATTTAATACAAAGGAACATATTTTGAAGTTTTAGATATGCTATTATATAGATAAAAATTTACAGGGATGCAACTTTTGTTATGTGGAAAGTAATATGTACTTGCAAAATTTGCAAGTTATGTTTTGTTTGCAAGCTTAATGTTCTATATTATAAAGCTTCTAGATAATAGTTTTTAAACATATCCTAGTTTTTTTTTAATAGTTGAAACTGCTTTAGTGTTGTTCTTCAAGAGTTGTTCAATGTTCCAGAGTTCAAGAAATTTGTATGATAGTTTGAAATCTAGGCATGTTACATGTTTCTGTAGCAATTTCATACCAATAACATTTGATGCTTCTTTTTATTTGTAAAAGCAGTACCTACTTTTCTTTTTCAGCCTTCTTCTCGAGTATTCATATTTTATTCCAATTTTATGCAGTTAATGTGACTGGGAAGCAGAGGGAATTTGCGGCATTTCTTAATCCTGCAAATAAACCATTGACACAAATTGTTCAAGATGATTTGTTCATGGAATTTGAATTTAGACAGTATTTATTAAGTTATTTATGATTGAACTGCACTTGTTAAGCTCAACATGAGGTTGGTTAAAGAGGTTTTTCATTTTTGATTAGCTTGAAAGCCTTATCATCAATGATTTATGTTAATTTGCAGTTTTTATTCAAGTTGAATCGTTCCTTTGAGGTTGCATCAAGAGGTTATTTATTTATAATTACCTTTTCAAAGTCTCTGGCACAACATGAGGTATCTAATATCTTTTTGTTCATTTAGTTAATTTATAATGTTGTATATTAAGCACTTGTTAAGGAGTATTAGTTTTGATCATGCAGTTCTACTCTTTTCTTTCACTCCTCTTGGAGTTCTTCTAGAATATATTACCTTTCTGTATGCGAGAAGTTTTGGTAATTACTGCTTGCTTGGCTTTAATCAGTGCAACATTTTCTCATTATAATGAAGGACTTGCAGTACTTCATATAAAAAAAGAGTTCCATCGGCTCTTTGGTGATTTATATTCTTTATGTAGAGTTAAGGTAATTTTTATAGCACTTCATATTGAATCATCATATTTGGTATTTGATATCAGTTTTCTTTATGATGCTAATGTTTTCTGTCTTCACTTTAAAGTGATTGATTCATTTTTCAATTGATAATAGGGCCAGAAATTCTGGCAATACCAGCAACTTTCTCTGAATATATTTTGTAGAATTTCACACCATTGTGGACTGTGAAACTTGTTTCTTTTCTTTTAATCTTTGAACCTTATATATAGAAATATTGTTTCAGTGGGTTTATGATTATGGCAGTTCATGAGGCCCACATTCCTAATTGGATATGGATCAGATATAGAAAGAAGCCCTGTCAACCGGTATGAATTAATTATTTAAGATTGATATCAATTTGAGCCTTCTATTATGGTTGCTGGTTATATCATTCTATAAGATTGACCTTGTGACAGAAAATAAATTATCTTTAAACGTGCCGAATTTTGACCTTCTTGTCGCTTTATCATTCATCTGTTAATTTATTTCCTCTTCCTTTGATCAGTGCCTCTCTCAGCTTGCTACCTTGGCTTAAACCATCAGTTTGGCCTTCAGTTCCACCCGATGCTTCCTTTGAAGTGTTTGCTAAAGAAAAGGTAAGTTCTTAAATGATAGATGCAAGTAAGAGGAGAATGGGTAATTTACGTATCAAACTTCTTTTAGTTGTTGATTTTTTCATTAATGTCAAAGCATCAATGATGGAAAAATATGTATTAAACTTTTGTTGAATGATATACCACTTTTGTTGAATTTCGTTTACTAAATTAATTGAAACATTGTTGAATGTTTAAATTTATTTATGAATTGTGATAATTGTTGTTGGTTGAGGAATATTATGAAGATTTTCATTGCATTATTCTATTATTTAATTGGTAATAATATGGAAAATAAACTAATTACAAATAGATATATATATTTAAAAAAAAAAATACTTAACGAAAAAAATTCTTGACAATTCGAAGACTAATAAGGATTGGTTAAAATTCGGTCAAATCTTTGACAGTTTATAACTGTCAAGTATCAGTCGAGAAATTTGTGACAATTCAAAAATGGTCACCACCATTTTTTGATAGGGGTTTCAATGATGGGAGAAAAACTGTCAAAAAACACATTTCTTAACAGTTATTACCCATTAAGAAAGGAGTTTTTTAAAGTAGTGATTGGTGTATCATTATCTGGAGTAAAACTAGTAATTATACGTAAATAATTGAAATCTGATGATATTTCTATTAGCGTTTAGTGAAAGGATTTGCATTATGTCAATCTTGAAGATATTACTTTTTAACTTATTGGAAGCATGTTGATTCTTTATTGTTTTTAATGTAGAGGTGGGTTGTTGACACAAAAATGGATTCAGTAAAAGTTTGAAAAACAATCATCTCGAGACACAGGTATAGTTTCATTTTAAATTAGTACTCTTAATTGTTCGTCTATAGAATATTTTTTCGGTTAAGTTTGATATTTCTTCATTTTTTTGATAAGCAGGTGAGGTATGAAGCAGTAGAAGATTTTTTGTCTTTGTTGAAGGAATGGGAAAAGTTGTGCCAGCAATTCTGATTTTTTGTTTCAGATAAAAAGCCAGAGCAGAGTTTGAACTTAGTTAGCAAAGAAGAAGAAAAGGAAGAGGAAGATGATGAAGAAGAAAACAATAAAGTCTTTCTAATATTTCTGATGAGAATTTTGAAGTGGAGTTGTTATTGGTTATTTGTTATGGTGATCCTAACAAAGTGAAGAAACCTAGAGTGTATTTTAAGGTATTCTACATTTCATTTCGAAAAGACTGGTCACGTGTCTTATTTGCTCTATTGTCTTTATTGTTAAGCTCTTTATATGACATCTTTCATCATTGGTCAAAGACTAGTCACGTGTCTTATTTGTTCTATTGATAAGTGATGGAAACATGTCATTTAAAGAGCTTAACAACAAAGACAATAGAACAAATATGACATATGGCTAGTCTTTTCCAAATGAAATGTAGAATACCTTAAAATACACTCTGGGTTTCTTCACTTTGTTAGGATCACTATAACAAACAGCTAATAACAACTCCACTTCAAAATCCTCATCATAAATATTGGAGAGGCTTTATCGTTTTCTTCATCATCATCATCATCATCTTCTTCCTCTTCTTCTTTTTTGCTAATTGAGTTCAAACTCTGTTCTAGCGCTTTATCTGAAACAAAAAATCAGAATTACTGGCACAATTTTTCCTATTCCTTCAATAAATACAAAAAATCTTCCACTACTCATCCAAAAAAGGATCAGATATCAAACTTAACCGAACAAATCTTCAGCATACGAACAATTAAGAGCAATAATTTAAAAGGACACTATACTTGTGTCTCGAGATGATTGTATTTCAAACGTTTACATGCAGTACTATTTACGTCAATAGCCTACCTCGACATTAAACACAATAAGGAATCAACATGCTTCTACTTATTTAAAAAGTAATATCCTTTATATTGACATAATGCAAATTCTTTCACTAAAAGCTAATGTAAAATATCATCAAATTTCAATTATCTACTTAAAGTTACTAGTTTTACTTTGGATAATGATGCACCAATGCATACACCAGTAGACATGGTACCATAGCTAGAAAACGCATCTCAAAATTCTCAGGTGTTGTTTGAACCACTCTCACTTGAAATAGACAATGTATCACTATCTTTTTTTTATTAATTTTTGAGTTAATAAAGCAAATAACATCAATTAAATGAACCAAAAAAAAAATACTAATAATGAAAAATTCCATATTGTAGGAACAAAATAAATTGCCTATGATTATGTTTGTAAACGCTAGTTTTGACAATGTGTATTTCATACCATAATACAAGTCACAGAGGGGAATATTTTCCTCTTTTTTCCTTTAAGTTCATTTGCATTGTCAACTGAATTAGTTATGACCCTCTATGTTGATATGAATACAACAATTGAACCAGAAAATTGAGAGAATAATTAAAGGAAGTACAATGCAATCCTCTTATATTTAGGGCAACTTGAGCAATGTTTACTTTAGATAAAAGTATAATTTAGTGGATTGTCATTTTTAACATCTGAGAGAAACACTATTCTTTTGTCAATAAGATTTGCATAGTCTTTGACGATCTAGAAATGACAAAAAATAACAAGTTTAATACACCAAAATAGATCATAAAGATATGAGTGAAAAAATATGAAATAACCAGAATAATCTTATTATGTCTTTAGCTCTATAAAATCGTATCTTTAAGATCAGTGAATAATATGATCAGTGACGAAATATGTTATATAAAGAGTTTAACAATAAACACAATATAACAAACATGACACGTGGTCAATTTTTTCCAAATGAAACGTAGAATACCTTAAAATACATTCTGGGTTTCTTCACTTTGTTAGGATCACCATCACAAACAGCTAATAATCTCGCCAGTTCAAAAACATTAGAGAGGCTTTATCGTTTTCTTTTTCATCTTCTTCTTTCTCTTTCTCTTTTTTACTAACCGAGATCAAACTTTGTTCTGGCTATTTTTTTGAATTAAAAAAAAAAAAAAAAAAAAATTGTTGGCACAATGTTTTCCTTTCTTTCATCAAAGACAAAAAATCTTGCACTGCTTCGTTCCTCACCTAATGTGAAAATTATGTCGATTAGTGCCATCCCACCTTTTAGTACAATGCAATTATGTGAAGCAAAACATAGTTTTGTATGCAGATCTTTCTTTACCTGATTTTTCTTTTTCTTTTTAACTCAACTGTAATATTAATTCTTAATGATTAATAATTGATTTTATTAAATAATAGAGTGGTTTGTATAAAAACAAAATAGTCAACAGTTAAAAACGCATCACACGGATAAAACAAATTGAACCAAAAACCTTTTTCGTAAAGTAGGCCCCCGTAAATTGAACATTTCAACTATATAATAAATAGTCCATACCATAAATTAAATAAACAAGTCACCGTCATTTCCATATCCAAACAAACAAAAGGAATCAACCAACTTCTCATCAATATACCAAATTGAAAAGGTCCAATCTCTATTCATTTTTTTCAATTTATTTTTTCATTATTTTAATATGAAATCGTTATGAAAATTTATTGTATTGTATTAAGAAAAAAGAAGAGTGTTCTCTCAGATGTTAAAGATGACAATCCCAATGTATTTTCGTTGAAGTAAGCACTGCTCAGGTTCCCTATATGTAAGAGGATTGCATGTGCTTCCTTTAATTATCTCTCCGTTTTTAGTTCAATTTTGCATCATATCAACATAAAGGGTCATAAACTAGTTCAATTGGACATGAGATGAACTAAAGGAAAAGAGAAAATATTCCTCCCTGAGACTTGTATTATGATAGGAAATACCATTGTCATACCTAACTTTTATAACATAATCACAATAATTTATTTGTGCTCGTACAATATGAAATTTTTCATTTTTTGTTCATTTAATGATGTATTGTTTTATTATCTCGTAATTTCATAAAAGAGATAGTGAGGACATAACTATTTCAAGTGAGAGTGGTTTAGACAACACCCTTGGGAATTTGAGATGCGTTTGTTGGTTGTATACTGGTTTGGTGCATGTCTACTAGTCTTTGCATTGAAGATCATTATCGGAGTAAAACTAGTAATTTTAAGTAAATATTGAAATCTGATGATATTTCCATTAGCTTTAAGTGAAAGGATTTGCATTACTCAATATAGAAGATATCAATTTTTAACTAATTGGAAGCATGTTGATTCCTTATCTTGTTTAAGGTAAGGGGGCTGTGACATAAATACTAATACAGTAAAAATTTGAAATACAATCATCCCAGACACAATATCAGTGTCCTTTAAATTAGTACTCTTAATTGTTCATATCTTGGAAGTTTGTTCAGTTAGTTTGATATCTCATCTTTTTTGGATGAGCAGATGAGGATGAAAGCAGTGGCAGATTTTTTATCTTTTTTGAATGGCGATTCTTATTTTTACAGATAAAAGCCAAAACGAGTTTGAATCAGTTAGCAAAGAAGAAAAAAGAGAAAGAAGATGATGAAAGAAGAAATGATAAAGCCTCTCTAATGTTTAATGAGGATTTGAAGCGGTGGGTATTAGTTGTTATTATGATGATCCTAAACAAGTGAAGAACCTAGGTTGTATTTTAGGTATTCTACATTTCATGGTGGAAAAATAGCCACGTGTCATATTTGTTCTATATGTCTTTGTTGTTAAGCTCTTTTATACTATTTCATCACTTAATAAATATGTGGTTTTATAGAGCTGAAGACATAATAAGTTATTCTGATATTCATATTTTTTCAACCATTCTTTATGATATGTTATGGTGTATTGAACTTACAATTTTTGGTCTTTTCTAGGTCATCAGGACAGCACAATCTTGTGACAAAAGAATGTGTTCTCTCGTGTGTTAAAGATAACAATCCACTAAATTATTGTGTCTAAAGTTACACATTGTTCAAGTTGCCTAAATGTAAGAGGATTGTATTGCTCCATCTCCTGTTTTTAATTTTTTTCTTCTCTTTTGTCTAGTTCAATTGTTGCATTCATATAACATAAACGATTATAACTGTTCAATTGACAATGCAGATGAACTTAAAGGAAAAAGAGGAAAAATATTGATCCCTGTGACTTGTATATGGTAGGAATACACATTGTCATACTGACTTTCAAACATAATCACAAGTAATTTATTTGCTCCTATAATATGAAAATTTTTCATTTTGTTGTTCAATTAATTGATGCTATTTGCTTTATTAACTCAGAACATTGATAAAAAGAGATAGGATAATGACTATTTCAAGTGAGAGTGGTTCAACAACTACCTGGGAATTTTGAGAAGCATTTGTTGGACTTTGTTGATGCGTGATTTGAACACAACAACTCACACGGGCAAAGTGCATAGTGGGCTTACAAGTTATACAGATATGAGAATATGTAGCAAGAGAGTAATAAAAGACGATTTTAAAGCTGGTTCAATGCTCAAAAAGAATTCCTACGTCCACATGTAGTTGGTATTAATAGATGGTTACAGTCTGGGCGCATGTAGCGGAGCTAGTTATAATCTAGCGAGAATATATATATATATAATATATATATAATATATATTTATTATATAATATATATATATATATAGAATGAGGAGAGAGAGAGGGAGAGAGAGAGAGAGAGAGAGAGTATGCTGTTTAAGAACTAAAGATAAATCATCTGTAAAAAGAGAGGAGGCCCTCTATTATAGTGGGAGGATTCAGGTAATAATCAGAGCGCAGTCCGCAAGTGGGGTACAATTCCTAACCTACTTCCCATGGTTGTTGCACGAGAGATATCCTTAAATTGCATAGGGTTGGGTAGGTGGGACGATTTCTAGCCACTCCAATTATGGCATTCACCTGTTGGCACTAACAAGAACCATACCTCTTCGTCATTCCGCGACGTGGCAATGTCTGACAGAAACATAGCCTCCCTGAATTCTGATTGGCTCTGCTGCGAGAGTCCACATTAGCCCTGACTTTTTAGGCATAAGATTGTATACAGGTTGTGGTGCCAGTTACTAATCTTTGCATTTCTACAGAAAAACTCCCTTTCCCTGACATAAAGTAATTAACAAGATGTTTTTGACCGTTTTAAAAAACTGTCAGAAATTGTAATAGTTACTGATTGGTTGACTGTTTATGAACTGTCAAGAATTTGAAATAATCATTACCGTTTTTTTATGATTCCTGATAGTTATTATACTGTCAAGGAATTAGTTAAAAATAAATTTTCAAATCTTGTTTC